TGGGAAGGGTAGAGTGAAAAAGGGGGGGGGGGGGGGAAATAATTCTTTTAATATCAGGGGTTGGAGGTAGAAGTAGTGATAAATAAAATATAGGCCAGTTTTATAGTTTCTGGCAGATAGTAAATGTGGAGTGGAGTGAAAGATGGCTGCAAAGGATGGAATATTTTTGGAGAAAAAGCAATACAGACACCCAAGAGCACAGGAGAGCAATGAAGGCAGCTGAGAAGATAAAAGAACTAAAACACCCAACCAACCTGCAAGATGGGAAGAAAAGTGAAAGAAGTGAGAGTTTGTGAGGAACAGGCAATTGTCTAGTTGGGTCCTATTAAAATAAAGAACCATATGGAATGATTTTAAAAATTGAGTTTTAAAAATTTCAGAGCCATTTTACATAGCTTGGAATAAAACCCAATGACTTTCTGTGCGGAATATCTCTTTTTCAGCGATCCTTTTGCTGCACACCATGAATATATGCGGCAGATGATGAGAAGCTTTTCTGATCCTTTTGGACGAGATCCATTTCTCAGTATAACAGATGGTGGGGAGAGAACAGTAGATCGAAGAGCACGCCAGGACTCTCAGGTTGCTTTAGGAGGAAATCGCAGAGTAAGTATTTTCTTAATCTCTAAGGATTGCTACATGGAATTTACATTTACTGGTAATATAGTTGCCTTCACATGTCCATTTCTGTTAAATTTGGTCCAGTAGAAACAGAGGCCTGGCTCAGCTATTGCAACCTTGGTCAGATTGTTTCGTCGCTGAGTAAAATGTGAATAATATCTCTCTTGGTTCCTTAATGGCCTATTGTTTAAGCATTTATTACTTAACACTGACAAACTTGTTTCTGTTAGGACTAATAACAAATTTATATTTAATGAAACAAACTAAACACATTTATCAAATGGTTGGTTTAATAAATGTTATGTATTAAATGTTTCTATTGCAGAAAGGCATTAAAAATGTCCAAAGACAGAGCCTTCTTTGAACGCTTAGTTCCTTTTTTATGCTAACTTGACTTGAAAAGGTACCTTGATACGTTAATGCCTTCACTCTGCACTTTAGTATCTTGTGTCTGGTTATTTATGTTGAAGTTTGATTTAAGCCAAACCTGTGTTTCAGCCACCTAAATAGTATCTACACAGATATTTTAAACCCTGCTTCAACTTTGCAACTGTGAATAAAGGCTTCACATTCTGTATTTGGTCTGATTCTTAATGTTTCCTCTAGATATAAGACTGTAAGAATTAAAGATCAGGGAAATTGATACAAAACCTAGTATTTCTGTAAATTACCGCCTGAAATTGAGAAGTTGGCAATGATCTATGTTTTACATAAAGTATCTTTTCAACTCTCTGGGCAGGCAGGACAATTATATCTTATGCTTCTGTAGCTAAACCTTATCTAACTGTTGTATTTAGAAAGGATATACGTTTGAAGTTGGTTCCTTTCCCTCCAACAGGCTAAATATTTTTGCAGCTGAACGATCTCTTACTTTAATGAATCACATTTGATTTAAAAAAAAACAGTTGGAAGACAAAACAGATTACAAGGGCTGGTGGAACTCAGCCAGATCTGGTGGTGGTTGTTCAGACCTAGTTAGAGCTTAATAAACATAGCTGAAACACGGACTGTCACCTACAAGTCAAAAGGGTAACTGTCAGATTCTTTCCTCTGTGCTCATACATTGCCAGTTACTTTCAAATATAGATGTTGCTGGATCTAATTAGGGCATGATCTTTCCTCTACTGAAGCAGATTCTTAGGCCTTGGTTCAGTAGATGCCTAAAACCAGATCAGACTTCTTTTTCCTTTAGAAAAAGAATGTCAAACCTTACCCTAATATCTTGAGGGTTTGTATACCTTGTTCTTGGCAGTGAGGGATAAATGTGAGGCATAGAAAACCTTTATCTGGGGTTACAGAAAAGAGTTCAAGGTGCAAGAAGGCTGCATTATTTTTGTAAGCACAAAAGAATTCCACACCTGCTAAAATCTTTACAGTATTCTTTAATGTTCCTCATGTTTCACCTAAGAGTTGTCAGATGTCACAGAAGACTCAGTACTGATTATTTGAGCCTTGTAGTAGTCTCAAACTGCTTTTACTGGTTTCCCTCCAGAAATGATTCAAACACTTAAAATAATTAGATTTTTATGTAGGAAAAGATGGATATCTTTACTACCATGTGAAATACACTTTGTTAAAATTACCCATACTGATTACGGATATTGTAATTCTATCTTTAAGTAAACTAGAGCATGCCTAAAAGTGCTTTACAAGGGCCAGAATTTGTTGCAACAACTCAATGTGCGTCAATATAGCATTCAAATTTGAAAATGCTTTTCCTTTCTCAAGCAGGTTTGCAGTGTCAGTTTTTAGCCTTCTGGAGGGAGGGAAGGAGGAGGAAAGGATATGATCAGGAAGAATGGGGTAAAACATCTTAAGAGATACTGTCATTCGGTTTTGTTTGGATATCTGATTATCCTATGTATTAGGCAACTATTTAACAGCTTTTAGTATGTATTATAAAACAAAGAGTCTATAAACTTTTTATGACTAACAACTTTATTATTTCTGAGGATATCCTTTTGCACTTGAGAGAGATATATATAAAAATATATTCTTTTCTGTCACTACATATTAGACAGAACTGCAATCTGACAGAGTTCATAAAGGTATTCAAGAATCAGATAATTCCTTCCTTTGGTACTTAAAGTTATCGTGAAGTGTTTGGTACTTCTGTCTAACCAGTCTTTCTTTAGGTAGGCTTTTATATAACTTTCCAACCTTGTTTTCCTGGAAACATCAATTTGTTTTCCAGCATCTCATTGCCCTGTCATATAGGGATATTCAAGATCAGTTGGTCAGACAGGAACTGTATTTGCTGGTGTTTATAGCTACGTCTATTTATACAACTGCAGAAGAATATAATTTGCTCATGGGGATTTGTCTTCGGGTGGTTCTGTATATGATGATAGATTTACTTAGAACTTCTTTGCAATGACCTTTGAAACTGCTGACAAGTTAGACTTCATTTTGTTTATCACAAGGAATGTATGGATATTTTAAAGAAGCATCTCTTTATTTACATTAATCCCTTGTAATACATAAAGAGTGCTTGTGAACAGGTCAACTGTATCACTTAATTTTTTAAGCTCTAAAATTGTATGCCAACCTTCTGAAATTTAATTACATAAATTTACATTAAGGGGACTATTGATTTGTTGATTTTAATCAACTTTCAGTGGAGGGGTTGTATTGCATGACTAGAATGAAGTGTTTTCAGAGAAGTGGGTGATGCCTGAAGCACTGTGCCATGTTTTAAATAATTTTAGTACAAAGGTTGCTATGGTATACAAATGTTTAAGTGCTTCTAGTACATACATATGAATATGACTTATTAAATGTGGTGACAGCTATCACTTTCCAATATCATTAGTATAAATATATTACTTCTATATAGCCAGAGACTACTTTATATTATATTGTCGTACCACACTATAAATTACCAACGTCCTCTTGAGTGACTCTTTTTATTTGATCAGAAATGTTTAATATCACCTACAGTACATGAAAATGCACTAGATACTTCTGCTGTGTCTGATAACAGGTACAATAACTAAAAGACACTGGTCCTTTTTCTTCCAGGCAACAAGCTGCTCCCTCATGCCCTTTGCAGGCTTTGGTAGAGTGGTTAGTATCCCAGGAGCAATAATCCTTGTAGCTCTTGCTAATATATGCATACTGTCTGCATACCTAAAGCATGGACAAAGGCTAGTTTCAGTGTGCTTGCAAACTGCTTTTGTTGGTGTTTAGATATATGGAACAATATAATTCAAGAAAGATTTTTATTATTACTTCTCCTCATTAAATGAAAATGCAAGGGTAGACTAAATACGCTGATACCAAGATTGGAAAGGTTACTACTTAGCAGCTGGCTTTTCTACTCGGCGATGTATCTGTTGGTGCTTGATCTCTGATGGATATTAATGAAATAATCCCTGGACAGAGACTGCAAACTTTGAGTGCTGCCTGTAGACAGATGCTAGTGGCTTGGAGTGTGTTTGTGGGTGTGATACCGCTAAGACCTGTAGCACTGGTCACAGCTAAGCCAGGCCAGCTTCTGGAGGCAGAATTTCTACTGGAACTGCGCTTGGAATGTTTTTCAGTTGTAGTTTGTCGGGGGGCTGGAATATCTTGTAAAAGATCTGTAAAAAGTACCCGAGGAAAAGCAAGATTATTGTTAGGACCCTCACAGAGGTTTTCCCTTCCTTTGGAAGGCTTTAAAAAGTCTTCAGATTGAAAACGGGTAGCTTAGAGAGTGGCTCTCACTTGCAGAACAGGTAAAAGTAAACATGGGTCTTTGAATTTTCAGATCTAAATTATTCCTTGTTTAATTATCTTTTGCAGAAACACAAATTGGCAACTTGCTGTATACAAAAAGTGTATTGGCTATCCAGTGTTCTTTTTCTATTAACTGCACGGGCTATGCTTTTACTCTCCTCACCCCAATCTATGGCATGTAATTCCATACATACAGCTGATAACTATGTAATGTCATTGGTTCAATGTCCAGATTTCTAACTGTAAAAGGCAGTTTTCTGGAGTTACTGACAGTTGCAATGATTTGATGCCGTAAATTGTCTATAATTATTGCCCAGAGGTTTTGATAGCCCTTAAGGATTCAGAATTCTTGCTACTCAAGTAACAAATTGAAGATTTTCTATACTTGAATTCTACTTAGTTTTATGCTTAAACTGCAGATTTTATTTTTAAGCTTTTAAATACATAGCTATTTAAATTAATTTATTTAAATTTAATTCTATATGTTTCGAGTAGTTGGAGGCAAACTCCTCTCTGCTGCCCTGGAGAGGAGCCCAGAGGAGGATGCTCATTTGGGACAGCATTGCTGTCTTCCCAGGTGGTCAGTTAGGAGAGTTCACCCTTTCCATACTTTCTGTCTCCCTGTCTCTCTCTTTTTTGTTTTGTTTTCTTCCAAAGGTAGCTTTTATCAGTATGGTCAGTATATGCCATCAGCTACAGATACTGATAATAAAATTCTGTGCATGTAAACCTGTCTTAGTATCTATCCTTTGCGCAACACTGATCTTCTGCTTTCATGTAAAAATGAATGAATGCTTTGTTGAATAGATCTATAGCATCAAGTAATTAAGCTGCCATTAAAATACGAAGTTATGGTTCTCTGATTTTTTTCTACACTGCCCTTTTATGACAGATGTACACTACTTCTGCAGAGGAACAGCTGTGTCTGCTGGGATTCACTTTCATTGTGATTCCATATGCATTAAGGGACTTGCATAAGAGAGATAATTTGATCTTCCAATAGATTATAAGGCATGGAGGGTCATATAGTACTTCTTACAAGCAGAAGCTAGTTAGTTTAGAAGGTACGTGAAAGTAGTTCTTGTAAATTGGCCACAATATGAGCTTATTTTGACATTTGAGTGTCAAATCTTTCACTTCTGTCTTTCCAGTATCTCCAACTTGAACAATCAAGCTCCCCATGCTAGCTTTCAATTTTTCATTTGAAAAGATGCTTTTTGGCTTGTCTATGTCTATGAACTGCAGTCTGTGAAAACCTTTTTGATGGTCTGATTCGCATTAAAAAGTGCATGTAAAAAAACCAGCTTCAGAACTTGAAGAGTCAGAAGACTTTGTTTTAATTTTAATGTCTTTTAGCAGGATGCAGATTTTGGGGAACCTTTTTTTGCAATGGACAGGATGATGTCAAATATGAGAAACAGTATGCTGGAAATGCAAAGAAAATTTGTAAGTTTTCTTAAAATTTGTTCTAAAACATTGTATTGGAGAATGACAGTTGCTTAAAATATTACTTAGAAAGTCCTGCCAAGAAAAAGGTTACTAGTCTCAAGCAGATAGTAAGAATTTTTTTCCCCCAGACTATATCGTGGTTATAATTCTCTATGCTGTCACTGATTATTTGCTAACAACAGTACTTTATAATGTGCACTTGATTCTCTAGGGGTTAGAACTGCTGTAAGCTGTCTGGTGTCTGGCTGTTGCCAGAGCTGACACCTTAAGTGAAGAAGCAGTTTAAAGTGTTACTGTACACTTAAAACCAAAACAACCGCAAGCGCCTAAATGCCACCCTGCATATAGACTTTCTTCTGATTTTATTTTCAGTACTGCTTCTTTCTTCTTTCTTCACAGTCTTGGAAGATAACACTGGTATCTATTAAGTGCTGCTGAGTATATTTACTGTGTTTTACTGGCCTTGTAAAATGGCTTGTAACCATTGTTGCTCAAGTCCTATTTCACCTCAACTCTTTACACACCTTATTATATACTGTATGTGGCAAGACTGATGGTATAGGTTATATCTTCATTACTAAACTAAACTACATCAGGGCAAACGTTTGAGCAGTTGCTTATTGCTGCCCATGCTTTTTATTTGTTGTCGTGTTTCCTGGCACAGGGAGACCTGTGGCCAGACAAGGCTACAACAAGAGGGTAGGCATATCAAATGCCCGGGTCTCTTCCCAACAGGCTGTATCTATGGTGCCAGGACTGAGAGTTAATTTTTCAGAGGGGTATTCTTTTTCATAATAAGATAGTCTCAGAATGTAAGAAGTACCTATTATCCACAAGTTTCAACTTTTCTTAATAAGAAGTCTACATTGCTTGTAGGATGACCTATCCATCCATCCAGATGCACACACATTCAGCTCCTCCTCTGTGATGACATACTCCAAAATAGGGGATGAACCACCAAAAGTTTTCCAAGCTTCAGCTCAGACACGCACAGCTCCAGGAGGTGTAAGTAGTCCTGAGATGCAGCAAAAAGGTGGTATGTATTTATCGGAATTTAAGTTCATCTATACCAAACCAGAGTTCCCTTCAGGTTCTTTTTACTGGAGACAGTTACTCTTATAATTTAGAAAAATATATGTCTGTTTAAATATTGCTGTATCTTAAAGGCTTCTTAAGCTAAAGTGCTGTTTTCTTCCTTGTAACCTGTATGCTGCTAAGTATACCTCTAAATAAATCGTATGCCTGTCGAAGACTGGAAAAATTGAGTGCCAGAACAGCTGATTCTTCAAGGCTGTCTCCAATGTCTTTCTCTTTGCTATAATTAATCCTCTTCTTGTACATTTAAAATTCTGTCTAAAATACAAGATAGCAGGAGGCAGTCTATTTATGCAAAGCATGGCTTCAAATCATCCCTTTTACTCAAGCACTTCTAAATGCTTACGTAACGCTTCAGATGAAGATGCCCTTTCATTGACTTCCTTGCAGCTGTTGCGTCTAATTCTGCTAAGAAATTTGAATTTGAACCCTGAAGCAAGGTTCATGAAAGACTATATGCGAGCAGTAAAGGCCGTTGAGCATGATTGGCTGTGGGATATGTTCAAGCTCAAACAGACACTCAGTTATCAAAAAGGTTCTAATAATATACCTATGAACACAGTGATAAGTGGTTGCCTGGGTTTCAAGCCAGTCAACATGACAACCTAGTAATTAGTTGTCCCTTCATGCTGAGAATATTGGCATTGGCTGTTACTTGTTCTGTTGTCAAGGAGAATGTTGAAGACTTGTCTGTATGTAGTATATTTAGACTAGGCTTCCCCCCCCCCCCCCCCCCAACAATGAATATCCAGTATTTATGTTACCTAAGAAGCTTTAGGTGTTCTTGTTTAATCTTCCTGTCTGTTGGCAGAAAGAAAATGGACTTCACCTGTGCTTTGTTGGTGTATTTTCAGCCAACACAGTAAATGAGACAATTGGAAAAGCCTGTAAAAACTAACTTTTTCAAAAATAAGATAAAAAAACTTTGGGAAAGAAAATTTGATTTAAAAAAAATATTTTAACTTTTTTTTGGTTGGAAGGACACTTATTTCCCTTTTTTGTACAGGTTAAGGAGACAAGAAAAGCACTTAAGGATTCTGAAAGTGGACTGGAAAAAATGGCTATTGGTCATCATATTCATGACCGTGCCCATGTTATTAAAAAGTCAAAGAACAGCAAGACTGGTGATGAAGAAATGAACCAAGAATTCATCAACCTGGATGAGGGTATGTCTTTTTATGCAGTTCTCTAATGGGCTTTACACTGTTTCATATGCCAGTTTTGAAGTTCCAGCTTGAGACCTCTTAAAAGGGACTGTTTTTCAGAAAGTGTTAAGTCTGCAAATCAAGTTTCCTTAGTTGATATAAATTTGGACAACCTAAGTTAAAGTAACCAGTTAGACTTGAAAATGTTGTGTTCTAATGCAGTTGGTACTGTTTGCTTGTACAATAGCTGCTCATATTTGAAAGTACTTTTAACAATATTTTGTGGTTTCAAACAAAGTTTTAACAGAATTTTGCTATTTGCTCTGTGTTTGTTTGTGGCTAATAGAAAATACATATTTAAGAGATGTGTGGTTAAAATGTGCATATACTTCTACAACACAGTAACTTTCAGGTTTTTTATTTTTATCTTCCAAACATAAGCCTACTGGCAGTAAGCTTTTAGTTGTTTTTTACAGAACCCCTAGAAATAGTTTGCAGGCCATGTGGAGAGTCGTGGACCACAAGGTTAAACACTGTTCAAAAAACCTAATTTTCGTTACATGTCTTTTCCTATCTTGCTTGCATTTATTAAAAATAAAAGTAAACTTTAACTGTTTTTCAGCTGAGGCCCAGACCTTTGATGAAGAGTGGCAGAAAGAGATTATGAAGTTCAAGCCATCTAGAACTAGATGCAATTTAGAAGCTCCAAAATACAGAAGTATTCATCACATACCCAAGGAAGATGGATTAAGAAGGTACAAATCGTTTCCTACCAGAATAAGGAAATACTAGCAGCAGAATGAAAAACCAATTCTAAAGCAATCTGTTAATGAACAAGCAATGCTTACTGGCAGTCTGAGAAGAAATAGCATGTTTTATTCCTCCTTTTCTCATGATGCCACGATAAACAGTGTAAGGCAGTATTTTGTTAACTAAATTTTGAAGAAATTCAGTATTTTTGACTTTGAAAATTACTTAATGTATTGATAGGCTAAAATGGTGTTTTCTAGAGAAGTATGCCAGTGCTCTTAGCTCAACTATGTACAACTGTTGTAGCTGCTCCCACAGTCATTAAACTGGGTTAGTTGCATTAAGGTATAATCCTTATTGAGGGCTAGGTTGATCTGTTCTCTTGGGTAAAAGGAAGGACACCTTCCATATAGTTGGAGACAGACACACCCCTCTCTTCAGGGTTAGATTTCAAATGAGACCTCTTCTAATCCTAAAATCAGGAAGTCTGTGTAGGAATAAGGACTTTATCTGTAAATGCAGGAGCTCCCCTGCGTAGACAGCTATCTACCAAGCTTTGGGTTCTGTGCCCCTCCCCGCCATCGTTTCAGTGGAAGTTGCATGTTTGGTAGTGAATGCTACAGAAGAGAAATGCTCCTTTTCTGTAAACTACACAGAGCGCTTTCCCTCTGGCACCTCTTCAGTTCTAGAGGTTTATTACAGAGGCTGCTTTACCTTCAATTTCAGTTTTCAAACTAAGCTGTTTCTTTCTTCTCATCTGGTGTGCAAGATGAGGAAACAGTCCAACTCTATGGTGGTAACAATGGAAGTAGTTTTGGAGAGAGAGTCAAATCTGTTTTACAACTAAAATAACTATACCTCTACATAAGAAATTAACAAAATGTATATTCCCCCACCCCCATATCGTATGGTGTTGTGATTTTTGTTGTTTGTTTCAGAGAGAAACCACTTGCGGTTGCGGGTTCCAGGGAGCCCAGAGTTTCTGTGGAGAATCTCAATGTGAAAGGAACACATGTCCCCATCAAAAGCAGCAAAAAATAAATTGCTTCCATTCTCCATTTGAATGGAGTTTCTTCAGAGAAGATAATGGTGCTGCATTGCTTATGTTCATATAAGTATACATATATATGACCAATCTCTGTTTTTTGTTTTAGTAAGTATTAGCGTGCCTTGCTACTCTGATCTTCTGACAACTGAATGTTCTTTAAAACTTTAGATCCTTGGTTAAATCATCTAGTTTCAGTAAATTAAAAAACCAACAACTTTCCACTTAAAAGCACTTTAATGGATTATCACTAATTCTGTTTAAAAAAAAAAAAGCTTTGATTTGCAAGATTTTTGTGCTACAGTTGCACCAGTCTCAGACTTTTTATTAAGCCTGGTAATTAAACTACTTTTTCCCACACTCTGTAACTTGCACAGAAAGTAAATTCTCTTTTTATTTTGTGTGGGTAAAGTAATTACTAATTTTCTAGGTGATATAGCAATTTGAATACACCATAGCCTATATCTATCTATCTTTAAAATCACATTTTAAATTGTTATAGAATCCCCAGATTCACCTTGATTTAACGTGAAGAAAAGTGCGAGGAATACTGAAATGACAAATACTTCAAGTAAATTTTAGTTTATCAGTGTTCTTACGTTCATAAGCTGTGCTTGCATCTCATTTTCTGTGGCTAGACTGTCAATTTTGTATTTCTGATCCTTGGTATGTTTCCTTTGGAGGTGGCCCATTATTTTTCATTCTTGAAAATTCTCTGTAGTAGCTTTTAATTATTCTGTAATAATACCACTGTGTCCTAAGAAACTCAGCTGTAACTATTAGTTATTAATCAGAAAAATATATGGGAGAAATTGGTTGAGTAGGCAGTGGTGTAATCATTCATTATCCAGTTAAACTATTTCCTCTGTTCTAAAAAGCGCCCTACATACAGGAAGCCATTTCCCCCCTCAGCTGAGATGAGATGTGTTTGTATTCTTTTTTTGGTCCTGTTTTAGTGGATGTAGAATGATCCTAAATCTAACACTTGATCTCCCTCGACGTTGTTGTTATTGTTTGGTTGAGTCTGATGTTCTAGAGGAAAGCCAGCTAACAACAGGAAAGGTCTCTTTATTGGAAATGTTAAGTTCCTATGCCGTTTTGTTACGCAGAATTGATCCCTGTGTTGTAGCGTACGTAATTTCTGTAGACTGTAATGTTACAGCATTAGCACTATAGCATATATTTCAAGGCTAAAACATTATAGTGTAGCCTTAAAAAAAGGCACTATTTCTATGATAAAATAGGTTTAGTAAGCTAAGATTAATACTTGTTTGGCTAAAAAGGAAATGGCCTTCAAATCATCTTTCTGCAGATTCCCCAGATAATTTAATTCTATGTTTATTAATGTGCAAAAATAATCAAAAGTACTTTTGTTGAACTCTGACAAGGGAAAGAATTGTTTCTTTGCTTGTTTAATGCAATGGCCTCTTCCTATTATTAGAGCAAATACTAGCGGCAATAAGTTTATGCTATTGAACCATTCTACGAGCAGTCAAGGTAAGTGGGTGGTAAGGGGGTAGCAACCTCTGACGGAAGGACAGGCTGAAACAGTGTGATGCCACAGTCATGCTGGATGTCTGTCTGCCAGAACCCTGAATCTAAAGGACGCTTTTGCTCTCCTTAAAGTAAGAGTACAACTCTAGGGCCTGGTCTTCCATACACTGAAGACAACATTGATCTTGCAATTAATGTCACTGAGAATGTAAGGCCATGGAGGCATTTTCCAGGTATGTCACTTAACTTTCCCAGTAATAAACAGCAGAAAAGTTTTTCATGTTGTAACTTCAGAAGAAATCTTTGATTTGAGATGCTGCTATTTAACAGAAAATAGTATTCATCTGACAGCTTATATTTTTGTCTGTTTTACTGAGATTAAAAAAAAAACATGATACATATATGTAGTCAACAAAACAAGTACATACTTTGGTTTTAAAATTATAGTGGAAAGAGGCTGATATTCATTACAGATTACTTTGTTATCCAAAACAATGTTCTAAAATGTAATACAAAAGAAATTGTTCTACGTGGAAACATCTGAAACTCTAATTCTTTAATAAAGTTATTTATTATTGACAGTTATTGTTTGCTTACTCTACGCCACAAAACGACTTGTGCATTGTTTATTTTGGGCTGCTTTGAAACATTCTTACATGTGACACCAACAGCAACGCAATGAGGGAAAGTATGCCCTGCAGTTTCCAAAAGGAAAACATGCATTTACCACAAAAAAAAGTTTGCTAGAAGGAAACAGATGGGGGTGGGACCCGAGCATGGCGATGGCCAGGCTGTTTCTCTGCTTCAGAACGGCTCTTGGAGTCTTCTCTGGTATGAAAGATTAACTGTTCCTGGTGTAATCCTAATAGCGGGGGATTTTATATATATATATTTGAGAATATAGGTACACGCTACAGCTTCCTGGAGCTAGGACCTGCACCTTAGTATGGTGTCTATTCTAACAGCTATCATACACATGCTCTTGATACCAAATGTGAGAGTTTCTTCTCTCGTCGTGGTGCTCAGTTACTAGAGGGAAGTCGTGCAGAGTAACTGCATCAAATTCGCCTGGCGTAAGCTGGGATATTCTGTTTGCATATCTGTAACGCTGACTCAGCTGGAACTCTCTTGCTGTTGCAACGCCAAAGCGTTATGAATTGGCACCTGTGCTCCACGCACCATCCTCCCCGCGTATCATGAGATTCCATTTTACGTTTCCATGCAGTGCTGCCACACAAGGAGCCCGGCTCTTTAGCCGTTTCTAATTAGTAAACCTCAGCTGGATCCGCCCGCGAGTGGTAACCCTGGGCTTGATACCAGACTTCCTCCCAGTCGCTTTTTTTTGTAAAATCCGCTCATCTTACTCTGCAGTTACAGTACTGCTCCCATGAGTCAATGCCTTCAAACGTTGTCACCAGTCAGCTGCAGGGGCATAAATCCTAATCGCTCTGCCAAGGTCGCTCGTTACAGTACTAGGTCCCAAAAAACCCTTAGGCGCTAGTCCAGTAGGGTCCCTCCTCCTCGCCCCCTTGTCTCTACCGTGACCCGGTATCAGTTGGTCTTTCTTCGAGGGTCCCACCGTCAGA